TTACATGTGAGAATTGTACAATGTCTAACTGTGTGATGGGAATAGGGGATGATAAGCAGCTTCTGACTGTGCACCAACCTGCATTTTTCCTTATTCGCACCAAAATATCAGGGGAATGGGTAGATGAGAGCGGGATAGAAATCTGGAGAAAAATCACTAATGCATTGGCCAGGGAAAGAAGATCTGTTGGAATGATGATTGCTGGAATTCTTGTTCTCATAGCTATAATTCCTTCGGCAACCTCTGCTGGGGTTGCTTTAGCCAGAGAAGTCAAGACCGCTCGTATGAGTAAACATGATGGGTAAGAATGTTAGCAAGGCTCTGAATATTCAAGAAGAGATAGAAAGATGGAAGAATGATTGAATACATTATGGGACACGATGCAAGTTATTGGGGATGAGGTACTTGCATTGAAGGTAAAGACTAGCCTCCGCTGTCACAAGCAATATCAGTGGATATGTGTGACCCATAGGAAATATAATAATACCCAATACCCTTGGGAGAAAATTAAAAATCATGTATTGGGAATTTGACATCATGCCAATGATAGTCTGGATTTAATACAGTTACATCAGAAGCTATTGGATCTCCAGAATTCCCCTCCTCTAAAGGAGACTTACCAGCCGATTTCTTACAGGCTCTTGATAAGGTATTGAATCCTACATGGGTGATGCTCTCATTAGTGGGACTGGGTTTTGCTGTTGCAGGTTTATATATAATTTTTACCATCTTACCTTGCTTGCTTAAAGATGTTTTTAATGTTCAAGGATTATGGCTCCACATATATACGCTGCAAATTAGAACTGGACACCCTGTCCAGCTTTGAGAACGGAAAGGGGGAGATGTTGGGGACAGGCCTAGGCACCCCCTGCCTGTCCCTGGAAGCAGGGACTGGGTGTGGAGGGGGCCTAGGCACTCCTTGCCTCTGTCCCTATAAACAGGGACGGGTGTGGAGAAACTTGGCCTGAGAGCGAGCCATCTTCGACAGCAGGTCTTGACAGGAGACCAGCATGGAAAGGGGGGTTGAAGGGCCACCATGCTCTGGTGACCTGCCTCGAGAGAAAAGCTGAAGGGACACCATGCTCTGGCAGCTGGACTTGAGAGGAGGCTGAAGGGAGGATTGGCTCATATCCGCCTTGGCCAGGCCTGAGGCCACATCTCCATTCCTTGTTTCTCAGGGCTGAGATAAGGAACCGAAAAACAAGTAGGAACTGAAAAACAAGTAATGTTGGCAAAAATAAAGTTGCGTGCACAGCATGATTAAAAATATTGTTTATGCAGCTTATGTAACCTGCTGACCCTTGCTAAAGTTTATATAAACCAGCTTGGATTACAATAAACTTGCTGTATACCGTCCGTATATTGCATGCAGTCCTCCCTAGCCCGTTTCAGCTCTCATTCCCTCACTCCGGCCAAGGTTCAAGTTGGCTGCGCGGGACACAGCAGCTGCATGTAATGCAAACACCCTATTACTCTGGCCCCCAGATCAGCCTTTCTGATGATTAACAAAACATAAATTCCTGTTTTAACATTGTAACATGTGAGTAAAGCTTATAGAAAGGTGTTCTATAAACTCTGTAGTTAATGTTGAAAGTGGAAGGCTTATAGACAGCTTCCCCCACAGTGGTCACTAGGAATAGTGTCTCTGAGGTATCATTTGACTCTAAGAGTCTCCTGGTACTTCATTGGCTAGTCCTTCCAGTCCTGCATTTCTAGTCACACTGATCAGGGTTCCTCTCCAGAAGGCAGTTTTACTTCCACATGGTAGGATGGTCCTTTCCAAGCAATAACTTCTCTAGAAGGTGAGTCTTTCTTTTAAGTGAAGTCTTCCAGTCTGAAAGAAACCCAAACTGCTGAACTGCTACAGAAGCGTGAGAGGGGAGGGTGGTACAAAGGAGACCTCAAAGTACGAAAAGTGACCTGAGGTTTGTTCCTTGTTTCATGCTACAGCCCACAGGTTGTAATTCATGCAGAATGTGAGAGGAAATATCCACAAAATAGGAAAATGGTAATATACTAGACTGTCACTGTCACTGTCCTCCTGTTATTCATTGATTTGAGTGGGCCCAGTAATGTCTCCATTGTGAGACTTGTTGTTACTGTGTTTGGCATATCAAATTTGTCATGGGTAGCTTGCCAGGCTTTGCTGTGCAGGCGAGATACTCTCGGTAGCTTGCCAGGCTCTCCAAGAGGGGGAGGAATTGAACCCGGCTTGGCCGGGTCGGCTGCGCGCAAGGCAAAAGCCCTACTGCTGTGCTATTGCTCCAGCCCGGTAATTTACACATAAAGGTAAAATTAATGAAGAGATGATGCAGGAAGGGGGATCCTCTGAAGAAAGCACAGAAGAAAAGAATAAGCTGGGAAGTCAGCAATTAATGGAGAAGCCCACAGGCCAGGGAGGTTCTAAGGGCTGGCGTCACAAGTACGAGGTGTGGATTTGCACCCTAGCACCTCATAGTTCCTTAAGTACTGCCTTGGTGACTGCAAAATTTAAAAATGAAATGGAGAAACCCATGGAAATAATTGGGTCTCATGGCCTGTTCAATTGCCACAAAAGATAGTTGTGTTCTTACATCTGGGAATTTAATATGATACCTCGTTCGAAAATAGGTATTTGCAAATTTGTTAAGATCTCAAGATGGAGACTTGTTTAGGATAGACCCAAATGTCTTAAGTTCCTAAAGGTGAGGCTTTGAGATCTGGAAGATGGCTCAAAGGGATGGAGCAACGACTTTACATGCAGAAGTCCTGGGTTCAATCACTAGAAAGGAAATACATGTCCCTGAAACTTCTAGAAGCTACACTTGAGCACAGTAGGTGTGGTTCAAAACAAGAACAGTAAGATCTGATACATTCAGAGAAGACATTACAGACCAAAAGATATGGTTTAAAAGCTAAAATGCAAACATATTTTAAAAACCCTGAAATTAAAAATCAAACCTAAAATGATGTGGGCAGAAGCCAAGAAAAGGCAAAGCCACAAGCACTTCCAAAGCATTTTCTCCTGAAGCCTCCAGGGGAACAAGACTGTTCATGGCTGGATTTCAGCATAATGATAATACTTTTACGTTTCTAACCTCCAAAAGTTTGAGAATCAATTTGGTTTTGTTTATAGAACCTGATAGTAGTCAGGGTTTACTCCTGGTTCTGCATTCATCAATCACTCCTGGCAGGCTCAGGGGGATCCATATGGGGTACTGGGGACCGTATCTGGGTCAGCTGCACCAAGGCAAGCACTCTACTACCCACTGTACCTCCTCTTCAGCCCCCATTTGTTATTTTAAGCCACCTTATTGAAAATTTGCTACAGAAGCCACAGGAAACTAACAGGGGGTATTAACTATGACTCAACCTAGATTACTAATCCAGACTTAGTCTACTTACTTAGTATACTTACTAAGTCTTAGTCTACTTACTTAGTCTACTTACAGACTTAGTATACTTAGTATACTTAGTCTACTTACAGACTTAGTATACTTACTTAACATTTTGGGTGGGCCCCCAAATAGTGTTCAGTTTTCCCAAAGGCCACTTCTGGTAGTACTTGACACAGCTAAGTATGTCTGAGGATTCACTGGTAGGGCCTACTTAGGTAGTGCTGCCTGGGTCCAGCGCTGGGAACTTCTGGGGCTACCCTGGTGACAAGTAATGGCTTCCAGTGCTATACCCAATGTTGTCTGTGAGGCCAGTGTTAGGAATTTAACTCAGGCACCTTGGATGCCAGGTATGCATTCTAGCCCTGTAAGCCAGTTGGCTATTTTTGGGCCACCTTGCAGTGTTCAAAGCTTACTACTTTTTAAAAAATTTTTGGGTCACACCCAGCAATGTCAGGGATTACTCCCGGCGGTGCTTGGGATATATTGGGGATTGAACTCAGCTCAGTCGTGTGCAAGGCAAATGCCCCGCACGCTGTACGATCTCTCCAGCCGGCCCTCAAAACTTACTTCTAGCTGTACTCATGGATCACTCCTGGCAGGCCCAGAGGACTGTATGTAGTGCTAAGTTTCAAACCCAGGTTGGCCATGTACAAGGCAAATGCCCTATCCACAGTACTGACCAGCTCTGACCCCAGCATCCTCGCCATTAAAAAAAACTTCCGCCCTCTTCTCAGCTTTATCTTCACTGCTACTCTGATGGCAGTGACTGGAGATTGCATATCTCTGGCTACTGTGGTTAAGTTTTTTTCACAGTGCCCAGGACTTCACACACAAGGCAATTGCTTTACCCCTGAGCTAGTCTCATAGTTTTCTTTTTATGGCACTGAGATCTGGCAGTAGGGCTGCCAGGATAGTATCTAGTACAGACAGACATAGAATCAGATGAGGTGGCTGATGTCAGGACACAAATGGGAAAACTACATGTGAGAAATGTCCACGTAACAGTTAAGGGTGTTCTCCATAGTCTGGATATGGAATGACTTGCTGATGTGAAGGCTGCTCTGTTGAAGACAGTCATGGTAAAGAGAATATCCCAGGTTTCCTGGGAGCAACCTCTACCAGGCCATCTCTTCTTTCCTCCCCAGTCTGATCTTTGCCCCTTGGGACAGTGATGGGGTGCAGGTGCTTTATAGTGTTGCCTCAGTCTATCTCTAGCCCAGACTTCCTACCTCCACCTTTAAGCCCAAAGTGGTATCTACTAGTTCTGAGCACTGTAACCCCACCCTGGCTCCCTAAAGTTCCTTTATCTTCTCCCACACCCTCAGTACTAGCTTCAGTTGTGCACTGTTAATTCCACACCTCAGGAACTCATAGGACTTGCACTCCAGTTCTGTTCCACCCCTAAGATAAGGTCTTTGTTTTATACTCTTGGAGGTGGGGACACACCTGGTGCTACTCAGGGCTTGCACCTGGTGGGGTTTAGGGGAACATTTGGGGTGCTGGGGATAGAATTTGGGTCAGCTGTATGCAAAGCAAGTACCCTACTTATTGTAAAACCACTTCAGCACCTAATTTTATATTAAATCATCAAAGAAAATATATTTAGCAGGAAAAAAACATACAGATTCTACCACAGAAATATTTATCCAAGTTTTTAAGTCCCCGACATATGCATAAGTGTTTTACCTTGAATAGATTATCATCGTATTAGACATTTTGGTACCAGGCTTTAAAAACGTACAACATAACAAGCTTTACTAGTATTTCAATAACTAAATGAACTTATAATGGCAAATTATGTTAGTAGCTTGCAACCAGGTCATGAAGGACCAGGTCAAAAAGATGCCATCTCTTCTGCTAGTCTGAGTACTATAAGGCAGTCCGTTTCTTCTTGAGCTTGGCCTTACTGTGTGTTTTCTGGTGCCCAATGAGGTGTGAGCTTTGGGTGAAGGCCTTTCCACATCTGGTGCACTTGTAGGGACGCTCTCCTGTGTGCGTGCGTCGATGCCTGATGAGATGGGAGCTCTGGCGAAAGGCCTTCCCACAGACCCGGCACATGTAGGGCTTGGCCCCGGTGTGAGTCCTCAAGTGCTGAGAGATGGCTGAGCGATCATTGAAGGTCCTGCCACACTCCTTACATTCAAACGGTCTCTCTCCAGTGTGAACTCGCATGTGCTGTGTGAGTGAGGAGCTCTGAACGAATGCTTTCCCACAATTCTGACACACGTAAGGCCTCTCTCCTGTGTGGATTTTCTTATGTACAGAAAAGTATCTTGGGTTACGAAATATTTTACCACAGGCACTGCATCGGCAAACTTGGCTCCCTTTACGAATTTTGGTGAAGGTTATCTGCTGAGGGTTTCGAATGAAGACTTTCCCACTACTTTCCCTAGCTTTTTCCTCTCTGTAGCTCTTCTGATGAATTTTGACAAATGGAGTCTGTGTCACATTTTTAACCTGTGAGACACGCTTGCGTAAGTTTTTCTTAGGAAGACTTTTTGGGACTGAAACATGGCTTTTATCAGAAGTAATGTTTGCCTGGGACCTGAGACTCTGACAGTGCTTCTTAGGGAGGGTCTTTTCCTGAGCAGGCTTCACCTGTTTCAGTGCAGTTTTTGAGACTTTGGGGGTCCCACCATGTGGGCTATCCCTGGAGGTGGAGGGCCTGGCCTCCTCTTGTGAGACTACTGCCATTTTCGGCTCAGGGGATGGTTCTTGCTCAGGAATATCAGACCCTGACGTTAACTGTTTATTTTCCAGCGTAGTGTCCCACCCTGAAAGAAACAAAAGGGTGTGGATACACAGAAAACTGAACTACATTGACAGGACTTGAAAGTCAGAGGGCTCAGGGAAATTGCTGAAGTGCATGCTTTGCACATGGGACACCCAGGTTCAATCCTCAACATTGCATGGTTCCTGAGAAGTACCAGGCATGTGACCCTTGCCCTCAACTAAGAATAAAAGTCGATGACATTTAACCAAGTACAGCCTTGGCACCTGGAGAGAAGACCAGAAAAAGCATGAAAACAGTAAGAAGGGGAGCAGTGAGTGTGGTGGGGCTAGGGCCGCTCCTCAAAGGTACCTTCAGAGTGAACAGCTAAGCAGTCCTTTACTGTATCGTTTTGGCCCTCAGACCATGTACAGTCTTTATAATGACCCCAGAGAAAGATGGGCCCAGAATCAGTTCTAAGGGGTACCGTGAGGGGAAGGGGTAGCCAGAGTGCAAACTCACCCACAGAAACCAAGTGCCCAAATGTCTCTAACATCACATCATGGTACTCAGTTCTCTGGGTTGGGTCCAGCAGCCCCCATTCCTCCTTGCTGAAGTCCACAGCCACGTCCTGGAAGGTCACAGGATCCTGTAATGTCACATTTGGTGTCTGTTCAATAGGAGGTTCAGGAAGTTGATGATGGGGATGAAAGAAAGGGGGCTGGGAATTGACACTGCCGGTGTGATAGGGATACACCTGCTGTGGGATTCTGCTTGGAAACAACTGACAAGAAACCCTCTCAGAGGTTGTGTGCTTGTTCTAACAAAGTCAGAGTCTAGGACCCAGGTGTAAGCCGAGTGCTATTTTACCAAATTAAAAATGACACGAGGACCAGAGAGAGTACAGTGGGTAGGGTGCTTGCCTTGCACATGGCCAACCTAGTAGGTTCAATCCCTAGTGCCCTACCTGGTCCCTCCTCTAGGAGTGATCCCTGAGTAGAGCCAGGAGGAAGCCCTGAGGACCACTGGGTGTGGACCCAAAATAAAATAAATTAAAATAATACAAGCAGGGCCAGAGATAGGACAATGGGTAAGGTGCTTGCTTACAACAGGGCTGACCCAGGTATGATCTCTAGCAGCCTGTATGGTCTCCTGTGGAAATACCCCTCCCACCCCAGCATAAAACAATCCCCCACATACCACAAGTGGACCAGCATCTCTCTTCTCCTGGGAAATGCCTCCCCTGCCCCGCTAGGGCCCTGTTCTGTAGCATACCATATTATTCTGGAAAGAGATCTTCCAGATGGGGAGAACAAATCCCTGGCTGTGGCCAAGGGCTTATTTAGGTGACTCTTCCTCTTTTTTCTGTGTTAGACTTGTACTGTCCTTTCCTGAATAGAAGGTATTCTGTCCAAGAGTGCTATATCCACAGGCTGACCCCTTGGACAGAAGGTATTCTGTCCAAGAGTGCTACATCAACAGGCTGACTTGCTCTAGTTGTCCAAATGACTCATGACCCACTCACAAGCCTGATTCACCTGTAGTACCAATAGCACTGACTAATGCCACATAGTCGTGATGACCTTTGGTGAAACTTTGAGATTCTACAGGGGAACTGACAAGACCAGGACCTGTTCTGTTTTCCATCACTCAGTTATGGTTTACTTGGATTCAAATCCCTGATTGTTGTCAAAAATGCCAAATTAAAAAAGTATATATATATATAGGATAAAATTTATATTCAATATATGCATGGGAAAAAAACCCCAACAAATAAAGCACTCCTAAGAATGAGGTTTTCTTGTTCTAACCAATACTCAGATGTGTCCTTGCACCTGTTTCATAAGTATAAACACTCTGTCCCGCTTGCATGAACACTTTCTGATTCTGGTCTGAGTCGTTTCTTGGTCTCCCCAGTGAAACCACAGTGGCTAGAGAGTGGGCCTGACTCATAGGTGATGCTGTGCCCAAAGAAGGAAAGCTAACATGCCTAACTTACCTCAGGCAGTGCCTTCTCTATGCAGGCGGTCATGTCTTTGTCCTTCTCTTTGTGAGCTGTGACATCCAGAGAGCAGGTGGAGCCTTGGGTGGGTGAAGCTGGGAGGAGACATCATCACAAGGGTCAGCTAGCTATGGGGCCAGCACTCCTGGGGCGAAGGCAGCCTGTGTCTTTCACCCTCCCACAAGGACAGTTTTATTCCTATATAAGAGGTACCTTCTCAGAGGCAAAACCCCCATTTCTGGCTTCTTTTCTTTCTTTGCTTCTGACCATGCCGCCTTGTGATGACCTCGACTTATCCTGGCCCTCTGGACTAACCCCTACTTTTCACCTCATAAATGCTCATCTTTGTGCCAATTAACAAAATCCCCTCCACTAAAGAAAGTAACAGCCCTATCTGACTTCATGGCCCCAGGTCAACCAGAGTAACATGAAATCCCAATTTCCTGTGTCCGGCAAGGCCATGGGTTCTATTGTGAAGATTCCCCTCAAGTATTAAGAGAGGTGGGGACCCAGCCTGGCCCACCAGACCAATGCTTCCTTTTGGACAATAACTAGATCAAGGATGAACATGGGCACAAAGGGAGGACATGGTTGAAACATTCATAAAAATGAAATTTCAAGCAGGAGGATTCAAATGGAGACAGTCTGAAGGTGAGTGAAGCTAACAGACCAGCAGAAGTATCCTAAGAGCAGAGAGGAGACCCTGAGGCTGGCCATACCTGAAGTCCACTCACCTTGGAACTTTACATTAAATTCTCCTCCATAGTCTATCCTATGCAAGGCTTTGTGACAATCACACCCAAGAGTGCCAATTAAGATAATGATCACAAATGCATGATTCATCAGCATTCTGTAAAAAAAATCCTTGTTCTTCTGTGGTACTATTTGATTTCATTCAACGCCAGATGTAAACCAGAAGACAAATTCACCCACTTTTTTCTCATAAACTTACACAAAGGCACATATGTCAGTTTCCTTTAGGTACTGTGACACACTGCCCCAATAGTAAGCTCATAACATACATATGTGCTCTTTTACAACTATACAGAGCTCTTAACAGGAGCCCTCCCTGGACTTGGGACGTGGCTCTGGGAGAAAGCACGAGACTGAGTTCAATTCCTGGTACTAATATCAAACTGGAAGGAGAAAGAAAAGGAAAGAAGATATACTGCTTCCTTATCCAACTTCTAAACGCTGTCTATGATACTTCTATTGTGATCCTTTAGTTCTCACTCTGGACTTCATCCCATGTACTCCTCTAACTCTGACCCTCCAGCCTTTCCTATGGACACACTGGGTTCGCAGGAATATCTGAATAACCCTTATGTAGGATGCGGACACTACTGGGATTCATTATCCTAGTGACAACAGATCCCTAGATTCAGTGTCTCTGCCAGTCCCCACCCTGTCCCAAACTGGCTTCTCTGGAAAGTACTGTTCTCTCAAATCTCCCATCCATGCTTTAATTACTCTACCCCAATATGAAACTTCATATGCTAACAGAGCAACTTCTGGGAATCCTCCAGATACTGGGCAGTGATCATGGTGAGTGAAGACCAAGTGTGAGGTTTCATGAAGCTTCAAATATGTCCCAGACAGGTATTCTCTGCACAGCCCACAGACCTCTTTCCCTACTTCTCAGTGTGCACACTAACTCTCCTGGGTGTCTATATGTTTCTAGACCTTCCCTAGTCGCCACCCACAAACCACAACATTCTGAAATCCAATGCATCTTTTTTTTTTTTTAGCTTTTTGGGTCACACTTTGCGATGCACAGAGGTCACTCCTGGCTCATGCACTCAGCAATTACTCCTGGCAGTGCTTAGGGGACCATATGAGATGCTGGGAATTGAACCTGGGTTGGCTGCATGCAAGGTAAACACCCTACCGGCTGTGCTATTACTCCACCCCCCCACCCCTGCATCTTAAAGCTCAAGATTTGGTATGTGCAGGGTGTTCGCTTGCACACAGCTGACCTGGGTCCCGTGACATTCACCGGAAGTGATCCTTGAACTGAGAGCCAGGAGGAAAGGTCTGACCACAGCTGGGTATGGCCCCCCCAAAAAAATAAAAAGAGCTGGGGCTGTAGACACAGTACTATTGGTAGGGCACTTGCCCTGAAATGTTGATCCAGGTTCAATCTTTCCCCACCCCACCCCGCCTTGAGTTCTGGTGCTGAGGCAGAAGGGGGCAGGAATAGCCACTCTGGGACAGACTGTGCTACCTTCTGTGTAGAAGATGCAGGCTCACTGTTGTACTTCACCACCTTCTTTGGAAACCCGCAGCTCTTCTATTTTCATTTACCCACTGCACTCACCTTCCTCCTCAGATACCCCAGTCGCATCCTCCACCAGGGCCACCGCTGCCTGACAACTCTCAGGGTGCTGCGACTCCACCCACACACGTAGCTTAGGAGGCAGCGATGCCAGGAACTGCTCCAGCACCAGCAGCTCTAGAATCTGTTCTTTGGAGCGTATCTCAGGTTGCAACCACTGGTGGCAAAGCTCACGCAACTGGACCAGGGCATCCTGAGGTCCTGTGGCCTTGTCAAAGCGAAATCCGCGGAACCTCTGCTGAACAGCAGTGGAGTCCACTGTACACTGGCTCTGCTGTTGTGTTGGCTCCCCGAAGTCTGGGCTCAAGCCCTCATTTTCAGCATAGAGAGCCCGTATCTGGGCGTTCCGGGTCCGAGCTACCTCCTCATTCAATGTGAGGACTTCAACCACCTTGATCTTCATCAGGGGATTCTCAGCATGAAGACGATTGGACTGAGAGTTCAACTGAGCCTCAGGACATTCTGTGAGTTGAAAGCAGAACAAGATGATGTTTAAGAACATTTGAAGGCTGGAGCAAAAGTACAGCGGGTAGGCCATTTGCCTTGCACGCAGCCAACCCAGGTTCGATTCCCAGCAACCCATATGGTCCTTCACGCACCGCCAGGAGTAATTCCTGAGTGCAAAGCCAGGAGTAATCCCTGAGCATCGCCAGGTGTGAGCCAAAAAGAAAAAAAAAAAACACATTTGAGAAGATACTCCACATCATTAATCAAACTAAAAAACTCTGAGACACCACTTCACACTCACAAGGATGGTTCTTAGAAACATGTATAACAGTGAGTGTACCTAAAGATGTAGAAAAACTAGAATCCTCATCCGCTCTGTTGAGAATAACACTTTTGTTTCACTTTGGAAAAACAGTATAGCAGATTGGGTGTTTTGCCTCACATATAGTCTACCTGGATTTGATCTCCAGCATCCCATAGGTCCCGTGAGCAGCATCAGGAGTGATTCCTGAGTGCAGAGCCAAGAATAACTTACCAGCATCTCCAGTGTGGGCCCCCCAGTACAAAAAAAAGTGTTGAGCCAGAGAAAGAAAGTGTAATAAATTGGGCCAATTACTTTGCACAGGCCTACCTGGGTTCAATCCCTGGCACCTCTTATGGTCCACCAATTACGGACAAGGTTGAATGACAGTGGTTCAACCTTTCCTATTTAAAGTCAGCTACAAATTCTGCCCAACGCCACACACTGGGGGCCACAGCAGCTAGAATTTAAATCTATTCATTATGCTCACTTCAAAGGGGCAAGGAGTAATCCAAGAGCATTGCTCAAGTCACATCCCCAACAAGCTATGATGCACATTTTTATCCCATCAACCCCCACGAAGTTTGGAGGATTGGTGCTCTGGGTGCAGGCCTGAGGTGATGGGTTTGATCCTGCCTTTCCCTGGGGCCTGTCCCTGTAACTGCACCTGAAGTTTGTTAGGTACTCAGGCAGTATTTGACTTACTACTGCTTGATTTGTGTTGGGGTCAAACATGGCAGTGCTCAGGGCATACTCCTGGCATGGGCTGAGGGATGCTAAATGGTGCCCAAGATGAAACTAGGGTAGGCCACATGCTAGGCCAGCACCTGACCTACTGTACTATCTCTCCTCAGCATTTCTTTGGGGTGGGTGGGTGGATGGGTTTGTGCAACACCTGGTGACACTCAAGGGTTTCCCCTGGCTCAACATTCAGGAATTATTTCTGGCAGTGCTCATGGGATGTGGGCGTCAACATGTGAAGATCTGTGCCTTATCTGCTATACTACCTCTACAGGCCCCATCCTCAGCACACCTTTTAAGTAACTTCACCAAGACATTTGAGACTTGACATTGTCAGGATTTTCCTATTATTTCTTTGTGGTTTGGGAGGCCATACCTGGCGTTGCTCAGGGTTTTCTTGCAGTTCTACACTCAGGGATCACTCCTGGCAGGCTTAGGGGATCACCTGGGGTCCCAATGATGGAACCAGAGGCAAGTGTTCTACCCTCTATACTGTCTCTTCAAGGAATTTCCTAGTGTTGTGTATATCTAGACAGTTCAGTCTCTGCAACAGTCAACAACCCTGAAAGGAGCCAAAAGCCCAGTGATCTAAGTCCATTAATATGTCATAGAACTTTTAGAAAACCTCACAAGCTTCATGACTATGTTCCATCAGTGAATCACCATGGGCGACTGCTGTTTTGTAAAGTTCCCATCTCCGTGTACACACTAACAGTGGAATGGATGCAGTTCCAGGCGGAGAGGACACACACAGTTCAAACCTATCTGCCTCATGATAGATCAGGTGGCTCAGAATTTGCTCTTCTGCTCCCAAAGCACTTTTAGGGTATGTTGGCTGGAATGACCAAAAGAGTTAAAGGACTTTAGAGCTATAGAGGCAGCTCAGGGGCTGGAGCGATCGCACAGCTGGTAGGGCGTTTGCCTTGCATGCGGCCGACCCCGGTTCGATTCCCAGCATCCCATATGGTCCCCTGGGCACCACCAGGACTAATTCCTGAGTGCAGAACCAGGAGTAACCCGTCACCTGTGTGTTGCCAGCTGTGATCCAAAAAGAAAAAAAAAAAAGGCAGCTCAAAGAGTTCGAGTATGAATCGTGAACGTTCAAGACTCCAAGTTTAATATATGCCCCATTTGTACAGCTGAGTATAGTTCTGGAGACTCCCTCAATATACAGGAGTAGTCCCTCAGCTCAATGTCCATTTTGTATAGAGGAAGATAGTTAATACTATGTTTTTGTAACATGGGAGTTAATTGACTCCAACTATTATTTACTCCCAAACATGTCATATTTAGTTGACTTAAGCTTCAGTTGCCCTTAGTTCCGAATACACCAAAAGGGGGTGTCCCAGCAAGGGCAAGGATGGACCCAGTGAAAGCTGTAAGCTACCCTGGCATCAAAAAAGGACAGGCTAAACGCCATAAGTTTTATAAGTTAAGAGCACGGTCATGAAACTGACATAACACAAGAAAGAAGTAACTATTTAAATAGGGACCAGGCAAGGGTTAGGAAAGACTAACCAAGCCTGAAGACTGTAGTCTGGGATATATCGCAAGATGCCCCCAGAAAAAGCCACTCTTAAGCTTAATATATTGCTTACTGTATTCATACAAAACTACTAAAAATATTAATAAGTAAATTTAATGGTTTAAGTGGATTATCAGCAAAGGAAAGAAGAAAGCAGAATGCCCTTAGATGGAATTCCACCTTTGGGTGGATCTCCTTGTAGCTATCAGGAGTGCTAGAGACCCTAGATGAGATTCTGGCCTTGGGTGATCTCCTACAAGAACTTCCCCTAAATGAAAGGTTTTAATCTGTTCCCTTTTTTTTTTCTTTTTGGGTCACACCTGGCTATGTATAGGGTTTACTCCTGGCTCTGAGCTCAGGAATCACTCCAGGTGGTGCTCAGGGGACATATGGGATGCTGGGAATCGAATCCGGGTTGTCTGCATGGAAGGCAAACGCCCTACCCGCTGTGCTATCGCTCCAGCTCCAATTTGTTTACTTTTTAATAATAATGTTCAATCACACCTATGGGTAATTGCTACCCCACAACCCTGCTGTAAGGCTTGAGGACCAGCGACCTCACTGGAACAGTGACACTCTTATACTGTGTTATTTTGTTATTTGCTCTGGTCTTTGCTTTCCTATGAACGTGTTTTTTGGAAGGGGGGGGGGGGTTCACCTTGCAGTGTTCGGGGCTATTACAAGATTGGTGCTCAGAGATTCATGTGGTAACGGATTTTTTTCTTGCTTTTTATTTTTTGGTGGGGTTTGGGGAGGGGATGATGCACAATTGGCAATGCTTAGGATTACTCCTGGCTCTGCACTCAGAAATTATTCCTGGTAGTGCTAAAGGGGCCATAAGGGATGCTAGAAATTGAATCCGGGTCTGCCACTTTCAAGGCCAAATGTCCAACCCACTGTACTATCGCTCCTGCCTGGTACCTGGGATTGGAACAAGGGTCATGGCTGCTGAAACCACATAGAAGTGCCCTACCTCCTAGACCACTGCTATAGTCCTCCTATGAATTCTCTGATGCTGAGTACAAAGAGGACTCCTACTGAATGGCTTGCTAGTGTGGTTCTGACTCCCATAGCCTTTCCAAGCCTGTGTGCATTCCTGATGTAGGCATGCAGGCAGATAATGAAGGCCTCCTACCAAGACAATGGCAGTACATTTCCTGGGAAGAAATAGCCCTGAAGTTGCGAAAGCCAACCTCCCAGAAAACAGGAACTAAAGCCTGATAAGACCCTCACTTGGCACCAGCAACAGCCCAGAGATGCTCCAGCAGAAACAAAAGGCCAGGAAAAGAATTTCAAATATGACCATCACCACTCCCAACCCTACCCGCCTTGGTAATTGCCTTAGTAACAAACTTTTACCTAGATAGAAGCGCCCACACAGAGGCAAGTTGGAAAATCCCTATAAAAACAACCTCAAAGACCGGAGCGATAGTCCAGTGGGTAGGGCATTTGCCTTGCATGAGGCCAACCTGGGTTCAATCCCCGGCATCACATATGGTCCCCCAGCACTGCCAGGAATGCTTCCTGAGAGCTGAGCCAGGAGTAACCCCCGAGCATTGTTGGGAGAGACCCCCCCTCAAAAAGCCACCCCGAACAAAGGAAGGGTGAATAAATGCTGCCTGAGCCCATGTGTTCCTTGAACCCTCGAGGCCAAGCACGTGTCGCCTGCATCTCCCCTCTTGAGATATGTACTTTCAAGTCTAATGCTGGGATGTGTATAGGGGCTCTCTCCACTCTTGGAGAAGCCTGGGTTCTCTCTTGAGTACATTATTCCCCACTGTCTCCTACTTTCTCTTCCTCCTTACCTTCAAAACCTCCAAATAAAATCTGTTTTACTTCACTGACCGTTTACTCCTGAAATTCTTTTCTACAAGGTAAGACGAGAAACCAGTAACCCTGGGTCCCGGGTGGCAGAGGCAATTGAGAGAAAGTGACCATCTTTCTCCTCCCCACTTCAAATAAGCCACCAATGGGGCCCACCAACATCATTCCCAATCCTATTATGTCTGTATGCTTAATAGAAGTTGCTCATAAAATCTTTTGCATAGCATTCACCTTTGCAAAGTTTGCCAGTGTAGTATTTTTTTGCACAGTAACTTTTCCAAATTCGGCACAACTAGAATTTTACTGTCTAGTATGAATTCTCTCAAGTCATATAAAAATCAGTTTATAAGCACTTTATTTTGCTTTTTGGGTCACACCTGGCAATGCACAGGGGTTACTCCTGGCTCATGCACTCAGGAATTATTCCTAGCAGTGCTTGGGGGACTATATGGGATGTTGGGAATTGAACCCGGGTTGGCTGCGGGTGCTGTACTATCACTCTAATCCCCTATAAGTATTTCTTGCTATAAGCATACTCCTGGACATTTTTCCCAATTTCAATTGAAAAACTCATGGAAAACTCCATTTAGGGTCTTTTTAGATGTTGGTCTCTGGTTTGAGCCT